GCATGCGTACACAGCGCGCTAGACGTGTTTATGTCACGCGTAAAAAATTCCGAATAATTTTGTAACACACTGTATATTAGGGATGCCAACAATCTATGAATACTATTATGGAAACAGATGATTCGCGTAAGTTATGCCGATCTTACAAATAGAACAAGGGAACTAAATTTGCTGTTGTGGAGATATGCTTCCTTATTACAGCCTTGACCTTCTCCATCCTCTTTTCATAGTTCACACCATTCGGATTAGTTCTTCTCATATCTTCTGTTTTCTCGCCACCTTCTTTCTCATCAACTTGCATAGGATCGATCTTTGCTTCACGCCTACGAGAAACATTATCATCGAGAAAATGCAAAATAGCTTCTAATAATAGATACCCAATATCGATGGATGATATATGGGGAAACAATTCGCCCACTTGATTGAGACCCGCCGGAACGCAGCATGCCTTAACGTAAATGACATGTGTGAGTCGTCTACGCATGAAACAAATGACAGTTACCATAAAAATATACCTTTCTCATTGTATTCATAATTCGGACGGCAGAATCTAATTCATTGGGGTGTTTGTGAGGATCAGGATCTTTCACTGAATACCAGAATACGATGCTTGTTGCCAATAAGCTATGGACTATGTGGTTACACATCCTGAACGATTCTTGATCTAATATAGATGAACCACGTTCAGAAATTTTAGTAAAAAAAAAAGCAGTTGTGCCGTTTGATGGTTGCCAATAGACTTTACTTACCAGATGAAATAAAATCGAGCAGCAGCCAGAGAATGGGCGTATCATTGAAACTTCGTTTGATAAGCAAATCCCTAAAGTCGAGATAAGTTGAATCAACAACACTCATCATGAACCGACAGAAAAATTCAAACGCAGTACTGCTCACCGCTCTGAATTTGTATTCTTTGGCAAGATGGCACGATAATGGTCTAATCCACTTCTCTTTTTGACATTCGTACTGAACTTTCGGTTCAACAACGTCACGAAAATAGACATCTTTGTTCGATCAAGATTCTCATCGTCTGTAAAATTGTCGTAACGAAATATGTTAAAACTTTAATGCCACAATATCACATAGCCAACCGCTATGTACATACCTGAAAAACAACATCGTTGTATCAACTCGCATGTGTTCAGCACATTCATGGCATAACACTCGTCAAATGCTGAACTAAATTTTATCGTAAATTAGAAAAGTGTTTTCCGGTAGGCTATCAATAACCATTACAATCACGAACCATTTAGGTTGATCACCCGTAAACATAATAATTTTCGCTCTCCATTTCGTTTCTTTATAGCTATTCCCAGACATGTCCCACATTTCTTCTGAAGCATAGATACTCTGTAAATCATTCCCTCTCCTAAAGTCGGCACCTTCTTTTGCAATATTAGTGTCATCAAACATTATGCTCTCCCTCTGTTGATTTAGATCCATGAGTGACCCATTGTTATTTGTTGTTTGATGTTGACTCTGTTCGAGCGCTCCAGCAAAGATGCGTTCCAAAATGATCGTCATAACGTATTTGAACATATCAGGAAAATTTCCAAATATGAACACTATAATAACGTATGTTAGCAGGAGTTCACTTCGTACAAACTGCATTAAGGTGATAAAACTGTTCGCTTACTGATTCTTTTTAGGCTTTCAATAACTTCGTCCCATTGCACTGTTTCTTCTTTCTTCCTGGACATATACAATTGCATTGACATTATCTTAAACCATGTTGCAATGACTTCATCACAACATCGAATTATTTCCAGCGATGAAAGTATTCTAACATGTGAAGCAGCCACTTCTAGTAACTGACAGCTATCGTGAATGACTTGAATCTTCTTCTCATCATATCCACGTTCTAAAAGATGCCGTAGGTGCCAGAGCAATACGTAATGATATTTGGCTAGTATGCGGCCAATACAAGTATTGTTTGCATTTTTGACGGGCGCCGACTCTAATTTTGAGTCTATCATATCAAGATAAAGTAAAGTACGAGCAAAATTTTCAAAATCGCCTTTAGTTAGAACGCGCCCTATTGCTTGTCTTTAAAGGTTCTGATTAATAAATATTCATTAATTAAACCAGAAATAAATTAATCGCAGAGATTTCTGGGGTGTAGCAATCATGGGTTGTGTGTATCATAATAAATAAACAAACAAACTCACCTGAGTGAACTATCCCATTGCTTTGGTAACGATGAAACAACCTTAAAGAAGTTCTCGACTCTCTTTACCACTGCGTCATCATCGATATTGTTTCCAGAAAAATCCATATTCATAATTAATAAGGTCAACACATCAGCGGCATTCTCTTCTGAACAAAGAGCGATATGCTGGAGTATCAGAAACCACAAGTCGAAGCATAACGTCTGAAACTCTTTTGGAACAGTCGGGATTAATTTGTCAACGACGAACTGTGATTGATTCTTGGATACAACCTTTTCATCTTCTGGTTCAGAGTGAGACGGCGATGACCAGATTTCACCCACCACTTTTGGATTCTTATTGTCGGAAACTTTGCGTGTCTGTGCTCTACTCAAATTAAAGGGCGATGTTTGAAAATTCGGGCCTCTGTCTTGCAGCTACATGATGAGGTCGAGGTGTATTTAGTGTAAGAGAAATCATATCCAGCATTTATAACAAAGACATGCGATTTACCTGACTTTTTATTTCGTTCAAAAATTGCAAGTACTAAATAATCCATCGTAATTAGACGTCGAGTAATCGCACCTTAGGTAATACATGCCACTTGTTTATACTACAATACCTGATCAAGCGGTGCTTTACCAGTAGCTCGATCTCCCATGGAAGCAAGTTTTCCTAAATCGTGCAGGAAATCGCAATAAGCGTAATGTATGAAAGGGACTAGATCACGATTCTCTGTCGAGACATGTTCAGAATTGGCTCCTTGGTTCGAGACTATAAGCTGTTTCAGCACTGATTCCAGAGTTTTGTAAGCTTCCGAAAGTTTATAAAGTGTTACGCCTATGTCTGAGCGTAGTGTCCGTGCAGGAACGGGAGTTTTTCTTGTTCTGGGCATGGTAAATAGGTTAAAGTAAAGTTATGCACGTTGGCCGAAAATCGAGGGTTTTTATATTATTCAGGATTGTAACACGGGGAATTTTTATCCCTTATTGCATTACTATTACTATAGAATTCCTCCAATGAGCAGCAAGTTTACTGCCTGCGCAAACTGTATGTAGTCATACTCATTTATTTGAAGAATCTATGGATTACAATAAACACGACTTTGACGGATAAAGTATTGGTGTCAAACTGACTCGTCCCTGCGGCCTCCGTGATGCGAGCGTTGTGAATGACACAATTCTTTCGATCTAGAGCGCGCTTGAGAATTTTATTTAGATGCGGGAACTAATCTCATTTTAATTTTAGCAGTTGGGATTTACCTTCCGAACGTGGAAGGTATATTGCAACTGTTCACAGCGCTCCGAGTCACCTTTTTTTACTGGTTTGTCGAATAGAAAATTCATTTAACGATCAGCAGATATGCTAACTATTTAAGCATTTACGTTTGTCGATCTGTTAAAATTTAACCATTTAAGGCACGAAAAGTAAATGTGTAATTGCCTATCGTAACACCGAAAAATTGATCATGAGATTTCTATAAATAAACAGCTTCGGGTTATTTTATATTTATCAGTAACTCTCTCAAGACCACACTGTGGAAGAAGGTATATATTAAATATAATGCAAGTAGCATACATTGTTAATCGACTAAACTCAACGTGAACATGCTTTCAACAGTCTTATTACAACGTTAATGCCATTTACCGATACCAATGATGTCTGGGCGGACTAAAAAAAAAGTACTATACGCAGGAAAAGGTTTAGGCAAGGGAAAGGCTGTATTGAAACGGCATAGGGTTAGTAAATCAATTCAATTGTTTGCTTTTCGTGAAGTTAAGTTCGTCAATCATAAAAATCTCATAGATGACTTTGTTATCGTATAGAAACTATTACGTGAAAATATAAAAGGGATAACCAGACCTGCTATTAGGCGGTTGGCCCGAAGAGGAGGTGTTAAGCGTATCTCAGCTGGGATCTATGAAGAAGCCAGACATGCTTTGAGACATTTCCTTACAGAGACACTTAGGGATGTGGTTACGTATTGTGAATATGAGAAGAAAAAGACGGTGACGGTGATGGAGGTGTTATTAGCGTTGAAGAGAAGAGGGAAGACTATTTACGGCTTTGATGGTGATATTATTCACAAGAGGTTGGATGGAAGACGACTTGGTGGCTGATGCTGGCAATATGAATATGCCGTTGATGCAGGACAACAAAACAGCTTTTTTTTATATATATCAAAATTTGCATAAAACTTTAACGTCTAATAAGGTTCTATAATCGATGACAGTAGTTTCGGCCGATTATTGTAAAGAATAGTCAAGAAGAACCTTTAGATTGATTTGTAACAAGGACTTTAATATTTCCAACTATAAACCAACCCTTTAATCAAACCAAGTGTGCAGTGGATCTGAAATTATCGCTTGACTTCTTGGTTGTCAGGATCAGTCCAAGTTTTAGCACGTCTAGGAATAACATAAAGTTGTAAACCATTTTGAAACAGTATTTGAACCATTATCTCGTAATTAATTACCTTATAACCTCTAAAACTGTAAACGATTTCCTCTTACTTATTGGTCTACAAGCCTCGATTCTTACGACATCACCCACAGAACATACTCGTTTAGCATCATGCGCGAGGATATTCTTGTGTTTTGTTACTAACTATAAAACGATAAATAAGTGCGTAAGTGCTGTTAATACGAAATTAATGTCCCGAGAAGGAAAGTATGATAATCTGACCATAGGATGAGAAGTGGCTATCAACAGGATGAGACTAATGGATGTGGTTTTCTGGCAGTTGTTAGTAAACTCACTTTATGTACAATAGGATGTACTCTCTGGCTAGCAACTCGCACTTTCGCTGTCAGTTGCATGGCTGTTCCCACAACCACTCCCACAAATTGCTGTCTCATTATGGATGAGAAGCCTGTTTTGCAAAATCTTACCTTCTTATTGTCACGTGTAATTTGCAATAATAAATACGTGTAACCTTAGACTTGTATTCACAGCGCATACCCATTGTGGTGCTATAATAGAACAGACTTGCGTATTTCACTTTGACTGTTTTACGATCTCTTCGTTTGAAACATTGACGTGTATTGGGCCTAATTTGATTCCCCTTCTCGTGTAAGCTTTCTTGAGTATCGTGAGAGGTAACGATACGACATGGGCTAGAATGCACAGGAAAGTGTCGCATGCCGAAACGGAGAAGCTAAACAAAGCGAAAAGAAGCTGAAATCGAACCAGTGCTTCCGCTCACAATAACTCGTGGTTAATAACGATACTTATTCTACGTTACGACAAATCATAGACGGCATTGATATCAGGAGCTTTGGGATTGTGTAGATCTAAACGATCCAGTTATGAAGCCAAGGTTTTGTGATGTCTTGGTTAACATAAAACAGTCGTTTTTAGTCATAGTCGCCACCCGCTTATGGGAATTGGGATTCAGTTATGAATGCATGACGATGTAAAACGTCGTTTGATTAAGACGCGCTGATGGGGAGGGAACCCTAAAATGGGCATTTGCGTCGTCAATGACGATGTCTTCGCATTCGAATGCGTTGTCATTCAGACGTTTTGAAGTCCCATCCACTAGCGGGTTGCTAATCAAATGGCGATAACGATAACGTCACGTTGATTGTAAACCCGCGATATGCATCGATCGCGCCGTAGAATGCATGATCACTTTTTTTCGGCTCCCTATCAGTCAAATGACGACAACTTTACGTTTGCACATTATTTTTTTTTAAATAAAAATAATTGTTACTGCATCTGCGACTCGACTTACTGCGGAATGATGACAAATGCAGAAAATTGTAATCGAGTATTTATCCGCCGTCTTTACCGCGTAATCTTTAACAATCTAGCCGTAACAATACTGTCAAATTTTTTACTAGTCGTCCAGAAATACGTGTACAGTCAACTCTCCCTAAATGCACGCCCTTGGGAATGAAAAGTTGAGAGCGTGCATTTAGGGGATAACAATGAGTGTGCATTTAGGGAGTTTGTATTAGTAAATCACGTGATAACGGAATATATATTTTTATTGTAATTTATTGGCTTTTCACATAATAATAATCATTGCATAAAATACTGA